GATGTGAACCATTGTAGCACTTTTGTAGCCTATTTGTTATTTTAATGTGTGTGTTATGTCTCATACTTTTGCTGAGCGATCGGGTATTTCATGCTGCCCCTGTTGCTAATAATCCAAATTCCTCGCAAACAGGCAAGAAGCTGCAGGTGCCCCAATAAACGGTGCTTGGACCACGACCGGTTTGAACAGCCGTCCCAGTGTTCAAGCCATCGTCGACGCAAGTGCACTCTTCGGAATCTGGCCTTATCGTGGAGTCTACCGCTCAGGAATTTTGACTTTAGTCATCCTTGAATGCGATGTGTATTTACGAGGCAATAAAGCTACGTTTAACCTGAACTGGACGATTTCGTTTTGGTGATTTGTGGCTGGGGACCAAATGCAAAGGTTGAACCTTTAGTCCCAGGGGTCTAAATCCAACGGCGCAACGTTTAGACCCAGGGGTTCAAGTGCAAGGGCCTAACGGTTGGTCCTCGGGGTTCATTTGAAACGGTGTAACAGTTAGTCCTTGGGGTCGAAGTGCAAGGGCCTAACAGTTCGTCCTCGGGGTTCAATTAAAACGGTGTAACAATTGGTCCCAGGAGACCTAGTGCAAGGGCCTAACAGTTGGTCTTCGAGGTACAATTGAAACGGTGTAACAGTTAGTCCTAACGGTGCTAGTGCGAAAGACTAATAAGGGGGGCGCAACTGTTACTCCCCTTACCGTTAGTCCCCGAGGGGACTAATGGTTGTGGCAACGCACTTGCTCCCTTCGGGGACTAAGTCGCGCTCCCTTTTTTCTTAGAGTGTAAGAGGTCTCTGTCACCGTTTTTATTGTATATATATTTGTGAGATGTAGAATGTAGACCTCATCAGCCCAGACATGGAATTGAAAGAATCGTCGAGATATCACCAGCTAAGTACAAAACGAGCGCGTTGGTAACAGTAAATAAACATGAGGAAGTCTTGGTTTAATTTTAAGTGGAAGTCTTCGTTGTCCGTCCCCCCTTTCTGTGTATCTTCCTCATGTTTAATTAAATATCACCATCCTTTCAACATAAGCGCAGCCAACAACATGATCATAGTACGTCCAACGCTGACATGACGTTACCCGCACCGCACTGCAAGTCCAGTGCGGCCGCGGCAATGTCGCGATTCAACGCGAATAAGGCATTAGTCAAATGAAATTGTTTACAACGAAGGTGATACAATAATGAACGGAAACGAAAGCGACCTCACAGTGGTACGGCCTCTTGTGTATCGTTTAGTTGCGCAAGTTTACCTCGTGTTTAAATGTTTTTTTTTCTTTTCAGTCGATTGATTTTGTGAAAAACAAATAAACGTGTTCCATCTGGTATACTTGTGTTTCACACCATTATTTACGTGACTTACAAAGCAATATGCCGCATTCGTTACTTGAACTTACCGCCGTGTCATAAGTCGCATATCATTTTTAAAATGAAATATTGACTTATGTCGCGTGAGGTAGAGTAGAGCGTTACTTTTTAGTTTTGGGTATTGAATAACATACATTAGTGTTCATGTTAGCAGTTTTATTTATTCCATATGGAGCAGGCCGTCGAGCCATCCCCGTTATAATAAAGAGTAACGACAATAATATACTCCAAAGCACCTTCATTAGGCATTTTATGAGACGGATACAAATATTATTGCTAGAAAAAAATATGAATATAGGAATATATTATAAATTTAGAATGAACCTTGTGCTTTTTTTTTTTTTTGTTAATTACATATACGCCCAATGCGTCGTGTTTTGACAGGAATGCGAGACAAGCTCAAAACTAATGTGAAAGTTTTTTTTTCTTTTGTCTTAGAATAATGAAAGCGCCAAGGCCTCTATAACTAGCTTGACTTTGACGAAACACGTTCAGATTACGGGCCCAAATACCGACTTCGTCGGACTACCTTATCGACACACGCATCGAGTTTCGGCTCAAAACCAGTGCGAAATTCTATTCAGAGGAGTACAAAAAGCGCATTCCAAAGTGTTTGAATTCTACCCTCCACCAAGCCGCCTTAGACCAATTCCTTCGAGGCATTCCTTACCGACAACGGCCTGGCTAACGCTTTTAATCGGGAGTCTCGGGCAATAAATAGGCTCCAACACGACGGCGGCGCCGCCGACGGAGGGCCCCCCATTTCGAAACGCGCCGCCGTCTTGGTGTCCTACGAATCGACAGAACGACGTGGTCGGCCGCGCCAATTAGAGCCCGTGTCTTTCGCCCCGTCACTCGAGCACGATCTCGGCCCAACGCCGATCGGAGTCGATTGCTTCGGAGCCAATGAGTTTTCTTCGGGCAGCGAGACGGTCCTCCAGATTCCGGAGACGGGCTAACGGCCCTGCAGCGCGCGCCGTGCGGTGCCTGCCGCAATCGTAAATCTGGGCCCGGGCACGTTCCCTTCGAACGACTGGGGCCCCCTCCTCGGGGCGGGGAATTCAAATCGGCTGGGCGCTCACGACTGCGCGGCCGTTACGCCCAAATGGAACGAGATATATATTCAGGGCGACGGCAGGGAGGCTCCTCCGCGCCGACCCGTTAGGAGACGGGCCTGTGCACGGAGCCGGAGAATCGCCCCGCGCTTCCCCGATGCGAGAAGCCGTTTGCGTCGAACGAGCGAGGCAGAAGAGGCGCACGGTGTTTTGCTATAGAGCCGAGTTGGGCTCCTCCGGATGAACGACGAGGGCGCCCCAGAAAAGCGCTTGAGGACGGGGATGCCACCCGAGCGGCCATTGTCCCTTCGCCGATCGTGGACGCGCGACTTACGGTCTCCGCCATTTTGGTGCAACTTGTTAGCCATTGGAATCGCCGCGCCACTCGATAAGAAGAATGAGGAGCCGCCGGCGGGACGGGGAATGCCGTTACTAAGAATGGTCAACACTGTAGCTGCACGAGGTTTGTGCAGCCTCATCTGTTGGGGAATGTTAAAGAGTACACGTCACATCAGTGTCTGTAGTATCTGTGAGTGGGACGTGCCAAAGCTCGAAGTGCACCAACATTCTTTAGTATATATTTGTAGAATTTTGACTTGCCTTTAGGAGAAGGTTGTTTCCCCATCAATTGCACATATTACGTGTGTCAAATGGTCTTCTGCCGAGAATAGACTTTATTCATTATCTGAAGCCCATGTTTTCAGTCTCATTAAAGAGCTTTTGGGTCCTCGCGGCTGGAAGCATATGGAATTGTTCGCATGAGAGCGGAGTTTCAAACCCTATTTGCTCTTGTTTAGAATGAAAGGAAAGTGTAGTCATCTTATTTTGACACAGGGTATATATGCTCCGAGAAACTGAGGGAGACGAGGAGAATACATAGCGCGGTGATGTCAGAACGCCGAGCTCCAACTAGAATGATTGGAATGCTTAGTGGGTAGACGTAAAGCTATAGGAGCCTTCGTCTTCGAGCGCGTTCGAATGCAAACGCGGAACGCTGGACGCCGGCATTTGGCAATCGAACGCGCTCGAAGTGTGAAGGCCCCTATCGTAGTCTCCTCTATACTCACAAAGCCTGGCAGTTCGACGACGGAGCCATAGAATGCCCGGTCGCGGATTTGGAGAGCGAGGATCTGGTAGCACAGAGCATTTCTCAGGAAACCTAGACGTCAGCGCACAGCTTTTGCAACGGCGAAGACCCGAAACACACTTGTTCGCTCGGGAGAAGTGGCTCCTCTCACGTGGCTCTCCACTCATCCGTTGTCTGCCGCTCCACCTTTTCCATTTCGGCGGCCGCTGCTCGTGGTGATCTGCCAGGAATTTGTCGGTATAAAGGAGGCTATGCTTCTACGCACAGTTGCGTTTGAGAGCGTTTGAGAGCGCTTGAATGCGTTTGACTGCGTTGCGGCTGCGAGAAACCAAGGCATTCCTGCTATTTACGTTGTGCCAGTGACTCGCGTTCGTTTCTCGACGCAACGCAGTCAAATGCACTCAAACGATCTCAAATGCAACTGTGCGTAGAGGCCTTTAGTAGAAACAATGGCAGCTAGTTTTGCGTCTATCCACTAGTCATTCCAAACAGAGCTCGGCGCGTCGATGAAACCTGGCCTTGTAGGTGTGTCTCGGAAACTTCGACCGAATCGACGAGCACAGTTCAATACGATACTCGACTGCAAACCTGTGTAGTATTGCAGGGCCGACCGAGGACCTCTAGTGCGTGTTCCAAATAAATTCGTATATTTTATTTATTTATAATATATATATTAGATCTAAATAAGTACAACTTCTTTAGAAGTACAACTTCTTTAGAACTTATATCTGAAGCACTATTTTTCAACCAGACTTTCCCAATGAAAAAATTCACAAAAACGCGTTCGCGATCCTTTTCTTCATTGTGAAATTGCAGCGTTAGTTTTGGCTCCTCTTTCTACGCTCTTGTTGAGTCTGCTTGTGCGTTCTCGTTGTGTCTGCTTGAATCTCAAGTGATAACAATGAATTACAAATTTAAAATGTTATGAGCAGCTCGTGCTCATATTATTTTAAATTTGTAATTCATTGTTATCACTTGAGATAACAATCCGCCGGTCACACAACACAACTGACAAGAAAAAAAGAAAAACGAGAACAAAAACCGCAAAAACACAAGAAACAGGAGAGAGGGTAGCTGAAGACACTGCGAGATTTCAACAATTGCAAAAGCTTAAAGAGAACGGTATGAAAGGAGGACGTGGCAACCCTTACATGGCGTCGCGTGCCTGGAAGGCTGTGAGACTAGAGGTAGTGTTCACTACATTCCAAGTAAAATGCCATTCCGAATATGACGATTTACTAAATTAATTAAAATAAAACTGCAATTTTTTTTTCTAGTTTTTCTTTTCATACATGGTCAGTGAGTTCGAAGTTTGAGCCATCAACGTCTACGTAGTTGTCCGCATGATAAGTCGGGCATCTCTCTACGGGGAAATGATTCAAAGGTACTAAAGTACCGCTTGAACATCCCCTGCGTTTGCTACAAGTTGTTCCCAGACACGCATCGCGATGCTCTGAGGAAACGGACAAAAGAAGGGCTGCTCACTTGTCGTAGTCCGCCTTGCAGAAGAGCTTCTTGTCCCTGGAGTAGCAGGACTGCTCGAGGGGCGCGTGGCACACGGAGCACTGGAGGCAGGACTCGTGCCACGAGTGCTCCATCACGCGCAGGATGTAGCGGTCCACGATGGGCAGTCCGCAGCCGGCGCACAGGGACGCCGACGTGGCGCCGGCCTCCGCCGCCGACGAGTCTTCGACGCCTACTCCGGGCAGCAGTCCCACGCCGCCACCGGGGGCTCCGGGCACCGCTGTGCTGGTCGCCTTGCTGCCGCCGCCCGTCTTGCGCATCCGGGCTTCTACACCTCCTGCGAGCGACAACCAGAAGTCCGCGTCCAGCACAGCATCTGGCTTCCATGCACCCTTCCCCTTCACAGAAAATGTGTGTGTGCGTGTGCGTTTGGGGGGAGGGGGGTGGGTGGCATTGACACACGTAAAAATATTTGTAGCCTGGTTTGACCGTATACACATAACAGAAGTTTTGCCCAGGTAAAAATCAGTCCATCTGGAGCGAATTGATTTCAACTGAGTACAGCAGCTAGCGAGACTTAACAGGTTGTAGCTGGGTCAAGCTATAGGACCAGTTCCATTTTCCATCTCCGGCTGGAGCGACTATAGTGGAGTCTGAAACACGTGTCCCGCGACTCACTGAGATGCTCAAGCACCAACGGGTTCTTTTCCCTGTTTCCATGTCTCAAGCGCTATATGCCTCATAAGTGGTTGTTTAATGTCGTCGGCACCTTTAAGCTCTAAACACTTTGCCCTTATAACACGTGGTCACCCATCTCTGTCTATTCCGTTTTCTTTTCGACGGAGTATTTTTTCGTCTTAATATTTGCTTCTCAGCTCTTTCTCGTCTTGCTCGCCTGTACGACAAGCGCGCTACAATGCTGTAAGCGCGAGCTCTTCAGAACTCACCTTGGCTGCACGAACTCCTGCTCAGCAGGAGAAACCTCGGGAGATAAAATTATGAACTCTGCTTTCTATCAGTCAAAAAGAACCATTAAAACAACACAACTGTTTCATAATTCTGCTATAAAAATTATCAGGCAAGCTAAAACTCTCTTATGAAGTTTTTCCTAGACATATGTTGATTTATTAATAGTTCCCGAGTGAATTGAGCGATACGACAGTGACAGTGCGCTTTCTTTCGTCTTCTATCGAAAATTGAAAACACATTAGCGGCGGGTTTGCCACATAAGAACAAACTGGTTTTTCCAGTTTTTTGTTGTTGTCCCAAAACTTAATACGAAAATATTATATTTTAGGGGGAAAAAAAATGTCACCTTGCTTTTATGCTGCAAACGCGCCGCTAACGTGCTTGCATATTAGCTGCACATTTGAACCCCCCCCCCCCCCCCCTTTCCCTGTCCTGCGTTGGCCCTCGACCTTTTTGGCGTGGGCCATCTGGCCCCCCCCCCCCCCCCTCCCCCGTCCAAATGAGTTTTAAACCCTTGGAGTATTAGCCCCGAGAGCGAACACAAGCGTCGCTGCGGTTGCCGCGCCCTGATTGGGCGAGGTGTGCCGTGACGTCAGGGAAAGGACTCCGCTTCGCGATCTCGCATCCGGCTAGTTTCCCTGCCCCGGTTTTCTGGTTTGGCCGTTGTGTGCTGCAAGCACTTCGAGGAGCGGGACCTTTTTTACCCGGTGTACAAGACGCTGGGTTAGGCCGATACCGACGTGCTTCCGTACCTTCTATAAGCGTGCTTGTCACTATTACCGTTATAATTGGGTTACAAGTCCCGAAAGCTATCGGCGAAGGCAATTCCGCCATGAACCTCCCTGTCGGTCCAGACGACACAAGGCAATCGTGCGAGGGGTCGGTGGAGCGGCGGGGTCAGACTGCTGAGTCAGACTAACTTTCGGCTGTAGAAACATACACGCACTATTTTTGTTTAAGAATAATAGAACCCACTAAATCCCAGATTAACAACTTTCGGAAAATATTTCCGTTTTTTGACTCGCATCCCCGCTTAGGTTGAACGGAGGATAGTCCCTGATAGGAAAAAGGCTAACTGGCTCTCTCCCGCAGCACGCGCTCCTTTCCCTCCGTCATGCACCGGCTGCGCGTGCACGCTCACGGGACACCCACGTGTTATCAAACGAAAAAAGCTCGCACCGGGAAGGGGGGGGGGGGGGAGGGGGGGGGGGGGGGGCGAGAAGACATTCTTTCGTGACTTTAGTTGTGTAGACGCTTTCTTCAGGGCGCCGCCATAACCGACCTTCCGTTTTTGTTTCCTCTTATTCCGTTCGCTCCACTTCATCATTACCACAGCAGGACAGGTTATTCCAATTTTAAGTGTTACTGTGTCCTTCTCCTCACCATAGGCCCTTGTGGAGGCTCGTCAACGCCCGCTTCAGTGGCTTGGCATCTCGGAGAGACAAGAGAAGGTCGGCTATGGCAGCTCAATATGGCGCGCGCTGAAAGCGTCTGTACTGATCTAAACGAGGTAGAAGGCCTTAGAGCGATAAGCTGGCAGCTGAAAGTGACCCCCAATTGGCCGCCACCGTGTTGCAGATTTTCATCATTAGACACGTGACCTTACAGTTTTACGTCCAGACTTTAACGAAGTACTACGCGCAAATAATTGCTGAGTGATCTTTAATAACAGTACCGACGAGACGAGTTATGTTTCGTTCGTTTTAAGCTGAAAATGTGCATTTACGACAAAAACTCGGGCAGATTCGCAATGCCTTCGCTAGGTGCCGTCAGCAACTGTGCTATATTTTGGGTTTTTATCGGAACTAGACACTGATCTCTGGGGCTAACAGTATTAAAAAATTACACCATCTTCCCGAGGGGAACCATGGGGTGATGCGGAGCACCGTTCCATCACACTTCATCGTGAAGAACGGAGTGAAGTGGAGTCAACAGGCGGTGAACTGAACGCGCGCAGAAATTGGTTTGCTCTTTATGTTTATACAGCCTTGATGGAGATGCGCTTTAACGGGTAATCGTTCTCTTAGCTGTAGATGAGAAATTTAGCCAGTGCAGTACAACCGCTAACCAGGGATTTTTAACGTGCATCACGCAGTAGTGGTCACACGAACGCGTGCCGGTACGAAACTCATCCAGATCAAAACGGGCGGGGGCGGCGGGGACTCAAGCCCAGGATGTTCCCAGCGCAAGCTTTCGCTCCACGCTCCGAGCTGAGACGCGTTAGCCCACTCGGCCACTTCCTCCCCTTGAACGCGCGCAGCGCGCTACCGCTGCTTATATTTACACTTGAAGGAGAGGAGACTAGAGGAGGAGAGATGCGCTTGCGCGTGCTGTGTGAGTAGAAGCGAACGCACGCGAAGTGCACGCAGCTGGTAGAGAAGAGAGAGCGGAGAGAGTAACGCGCAGCTGTTGGAGAGAGGGAAGGAGGAGAGTTGCGCATGCGTAGTGTGAGTGCGGACTACGACGCCGCTGGACATAGACCCGAGCAAAAGATGCTCCGCATCTAAAAAATAAAGTTTGTCATGTTTTTTACAGCGATCGCGATACAAATCTCGCCTCAGTTTTGCGTAAAAGCCTCATGATTGGTATGGTCACGTGTCTGGTGGTCAAAATTGTACAACATGGCGGCGGCCAAGGGGGGGTCACTTTTTCCTGGTGAACGGGATACCAGTTTATTGCTCTAAGCCTCTCTACCTCTCTGACTGACATGCAACTGAGAATGTGAGCAGCGTAGAAGGTGCCGGATATAAAAATGCGATATTGTTGAGCTTTTTCCCTCTAGGCACGTTGTTTATGTCGGATGCACTCCATATTGCATCGTCATTTTCTGTGGGGGCATTTCCAAGGAGTGGAGGAAATCGTGCGCACGGTTTCAGCGGCGCCTAGGCTGGGAGAGGGCACACGTGCCCGTACCTGTGACTGCATTGCCCGAGAACGTTGCCCCCGAGTGCAGCAAGCGTATGCCTCATTCGGTACTGTGCCTCAGAAGCACGGGTACAACCGTCGTGTTTTAAAAAAAGGTTTGTTTCGTGTAATAAGATTTCCGTTCTCCTTTAACGACAAGCATACACTGAGGTAAAGGCGCCTTGCCAATCCCTAATATTCACCATCTATGCCTCTCGTTAGCTATAAGCAAATCTCTTCAGAGATAAAAAAAAAAAAAGAACTGCATGAAATGTTTTCAGAAATCGGAGACATTTTATGGTTCAGCGTCGTCGCCGTGACCGTTGTTCAAATCAGGGATTCCGGCCGGTCTATTGCCGGCGCCGACGTCGCGGCAGACTCAAGAGGACGTGCTGTATCCCACACCACTTGAACGTTCCGGTCGCTGCACGTGGGAGTGCCAACGTTCCCACAGCGCGAGGCCGGGGCTGGACCACTCGACGAGTCCGCGATCGAACCCCAAAACACGTGTAGGCACACAGGCTCCCCTCTTTCTTCCTGCCGTCGGAGGGGGTCCGTAGGATCCCCCCAACCTGGATGCACCCTGCCAGCATGGCGGGGACACCGCGTTCTTGATGACATCTTCCTTTTGTGCCTCGTACGTCCGCCGGGAGGTTAGGCGCATTTTCGAGAGACCGGTGACGGTGTTCGTTGGCAGGGGGAATCAAGGCCGATCATTCTTCATTCCGGTCTTGCCACTCAGGTTCGAGTATTTGGAGTATCAGTATCCACTCCGGAGTCTGCAAACGGCAGCGTGTCCTACAGGCGGGGGGATTCCAAGAAAAGTCGGACCCTCGGCACAAAATTGCGTCAGAGGAAGCCAGGGGAAGTGGATGACTATAGTGGTTTCCATACGGGGATATGAAACCGGGCGCTGCATATTTAAGTCAAAATAGTTTTACAAACAAAAGTAATGTATTCACGTACGCGTATGCGATTTAGGAGCAGGTACGACGCACAATGCAGAAGAATTTGAACGAATAAATAAAGAGCGTAATAATTTCCTTTACTTTTATATTAAACCTCGAGATAGAAATAATACCTCTCGAGTCCTTCCTCACCTTTATCAATATCACTCCATTTAGCGAGACCATTTACTTCAATTTATCGTAGACTCAGTATGAAACCACTGGATACAAGAACAATTTCAGTGATCAAACGTCTCTCTACATATTTATATTTACGTGTTTTGAACTTATTACGCACACACTCTCTTTTTTATAAGCACGAAAGCAATAATTATGGAGGTAGATCATATTTTGCAAACTTTTCTATTGATTATATGGCAGACTAACTAATGATTTAATAATGAGATAGACCAGAAAGGCTTCACTGAAAACCATTTCCGTAGTTGCTCCGTGTGAAAAGGGTAAAATAAGGTAAGTAAACGTACTTCGTTCACTTTTAGTGCGCCAAGTACATTTG